CTGAGAGAGACGGAGGAGTACGGGGATGGGCAGGAGCCTCCACGACGTGTGACTCCAGACCAGCGTGAAGTTTGGGGAAAGCGATTGGCAACTGAGGCAGAGTCACCGAAAGGCGATCCCTGGTTTCCTAAGACTAAACCTGGAAATGCAGGTGAGGACGGTTGTACGAAGTATGAATTATGTAAGAGAAAGTGGAAAACTGCAGCCACGACGGCCCACGCAAGGGCACGGCAGAGGCCTCTGATGGGCGGGTGAAGAGTGCTCACCCCGGCTTCCCGAGGACCCGCGAGGCAGAGGCACGGCCTCCTCGAGTGGCTCAGGGAAGCAGGGGTCTTCAGCCGACCTTCACGACACTGGGCGCTGTTGAAGACCCCCACTTAGAGCAGTACGGTGCTGGCTTCTTTCCCTGTTTCTAAACCTCACTGGATTTTTCAAATTACCCACAGAACGTACAGGGAAAGGTTCCTTTTTTGGCAGTGCTGGGATAGAACTCACAGCCCCACGCGTCATAAGCCAGTGATCTTCCTCTGAGCTATATCCATCCCCAGCCAGAATGTTTTTTTTTTTAATTGCTTTTGTAATTAGAAAAAAATAACTTTATCTGGAAAAGCTTCCTGATTGATGAGCAGGCGCTCCTCGTGTGAGCGGGATCGAGCTACACAGCCACCACCACGTTCACCTCCAGAATCCCGGAGACGTATTCCTAATTTTGCACCTGACCTGTTTTTTCTAATATTGCACCTAATTCCACCTAATATCAGGCCCGTCTTCTAATCTTGCCATTTCCTTGTTGCACCGCAGGTGGGGTGGGGAGGATCTGTGTCCCGACAGCCAGGCCCAGAAAGTCCTAGCTGCAGGGCACACAGGAGCCTCAGCCTTTCTTGGCGACTTCCGCTCCCTGGGGACCAGGGACACCTGTGACAGGAAGGGACGAGGGTGTGCACCCCTGCCGGGGACCTGCTGGCTGCGCACTCCAAAGGGCAGGCATGGCAGTGTGTCCCGGTCATACGCAGGCTGCTCTCACGAGAGGCCATGCTGGAGACCGAGGTGGCTCATGGACGGACACTCCCCGCCCTGAGGTGCTCGGCCCTGTCCCCGAGAGGAGCCCAGAGGCCCCAGCCTCCCCAGCAGCGTGTGGCTGCACACCCTTCAGCCCCGGCGTCCAGTGCCCCAGTCAGCCCTCCAAGGGACACACAGAAGCAGGGAGAAGGGGTCCCCAGATGACCCAACCCACCCCTCTTCCGCCTCTACTTCCACATCTGGATTCAATGGGCCGGGCTTCTGGAGCTGCTGGAATGCAGAGCCACTCCATAGCTACGGTTTGTGAACGTTTGTGCCCCTGGATCCCACTCACGGGGACACCCTGTCAGACTGCACACTTCCTCCTGGAGTGGAACAGGGCACGCAGGGCAGGAGAGTCAGGCGAGTACCATCCGATGGCCGAGCCGCTGCCTGTAACTCCGCTCAGCAAGGTCTCCGTGGAACGTGACCACGTGGGGCCAGGCGTGAAGCAGTCCGGTGGGATCCTGAGAAGGGACCTCGGGCCACCGCGGGAGGGTCAGACGGGACCCAGAGGAGAACAGCTGGGACTCAGCGCAGCTGGCCTCTGTGTCCTCAGACTCAACCAACGGTAGATCAAAAATACTGGGGGGAGACCTGCGGCTGTACCGACCACACAGACTTTGTGGTCTCCATTCCTGAAATAGTGCAGCATAACAACCATTTACACAGCGTTTCCATGGGGTGATGCACAGGTGAGCGGAGTCTCCAGAGGGTGAGCGTGCACACACACACACACACACATGCATGTGCATACACACGCGCGCGTGCACACACACACAGGGAAGCGTATAACCTTAGGGCAGCAAAGAACCTTCAAAATTGTTTACTAAAACCTGCAAACGTTAAAATAAAATTGAAAAACAAAGCCAGGTATGGTGGTACATGCCTGTAATCCCAGTACTCAAGAGGCTGAGGCAGGAGGATGGCAGTGAGCTCAAGATCAGCCTGAACTACACAGCAAGACCCTATTTCAAAAAAACAAAATAATGCATTTTAAAAATTATTAGAATGCTCAGTGAGGCCGGGGCAAGCTCACACAGGGAGGCTCCCAGGTCCCCCGCACGCTGCAGCTCCTGCCAAGTGCACCCTGGCTCTGTTGTGTCCCCGAAACCAAGTGGGGTCACTTACTGCTGGAGAAGAGCCCAGTGTCTGGAGGACAAGCTGCCCGGGCGAGAACAGCCACGGACAGGGCTGGCCAGGCCGCAAGGTCGGGATGAGCGTCCGGGACTCACCTAACCCTGCCCGTTGGTCCTGCTGTCCCCAGGGGCGGCGACAGGGATCTGGTGCTGGTAACTGCAGGTGGACACTGACCCCAGCGGAAGCAGAGGCACAGGGAACTGCGGTCTTCACCGTGGCCTGCCCGCTTGGGTGACCAATGCGGGCTGCACTCAGAGAGGCTGGGGCCTTTTCTAGACGGTCACCCGGGGCACAGCGCCTGGGACATGCTGGGACAGAAGCAACGGGTGCAAAGCCAGGCAAACACACCCCGCTGCAGCTCTGCAGGGGCAACTCCTTGTTCAGTGTGCATGCTGGGAAGCTGAGGCAGGAGGGTGGCAAGTTCTAGCCCACCCTGGGCAACTTAGTAATTTACAAGACACTGTCAAAATACAAATAAAAAGAGCTACGGATCCAGCTCAGGGTGAAAACCCTGGTTCAACCCTCAATACTGGAGAGAAAGGAAGGAGGGAAGGAGACAGGCAGGCAGGCAGGGAGGGAGGGGGATGGCGGGCAGGGCCTCTCTGTGATGGAAGGGGCTCGGACAAGAGAGAATGGACATCCTTGAGCTCGGTCACTGGGTGCCCCAGGACCCTTCTTGGTTCCTTCATTGATTCAGAAAGGAAAATGGCTTTCAGGTCCTTCTCACGTGCTTAAACAAGTAAACATGGCCTTGGCCTCATCCTCCTCGACAGTCCCTCTCCGCCCTCCAGGGGGCAGTAGAGAGCGCCTGCTGGCCACTGGCCAGGGCAATGGGGGCCCAGCGCAGCTCCTCTAACAGACCAGGCAGTGGCCTCACAGAGCCACACTAGCTGTGCAACCTCCAGCAGGTGACTCAACCTCTCTGAGCCTGTGTCTCCAGCTGAAACAGGAATAAAACTCTGCCTCCTTGACCCCCACGAAGATCACACTGGTCAGTCTTCTCTCTCACACCACAGGAAACCAGCGTTTGACAGAATAACCCTGAACCCTTCAGTATACAGCTGCTCTGGTGTCTTCCACTCTGTTCTGATCTTTCAAATACAAGCTGTGTCTGACCCGCTGCAGGGAGACTCCAGCCGCTTCAAGTCCGGAAGGGACGTGGGAGAGTCGACCAGACAGTGCAGTCCGGGTTCAGCATGGCAGGCCAGAGCGCGGTGCTGTGTTAGACCCGCGCTATCGCTGCTGCTCCCTCCAATGTCATGGCACTGCCGTCCTCAGCCACGGGAGCTGGAGCCGAGCCGGCACTCACATCCCAGAGGAAACTCTGACTCCCCCGACATGGCCATGGTCATCGGGGACAGACGAGTCCGGTCATGAGGATTTCCCACATTTCCAGCAGAGAGAAAGGGTGGGACCAGGAGGTCCCATGGGTGCCGGGGCTGGGGCTCAACCCTGCAGAAGCTTCTGGAAGAAGCACTCCCTCAGGGGCGCGTGGCACAGTTTCCACCAGCTGCCCACACGCTGACAGCATTGAGTGAGGACAGAGGAACAGGACAGCCCAGAAAGCCCGCAGCGGTCAGGAAAACCGGCCTGCTCACAGTCAGCTCACAGGTAAGACGCCTGGGTGAGGGCGCCACACTCCCCGAACTCAAGCACAGCACCCCGGCCCTGCTTCCTAAAATCTCCCCGTACCCTGAGCTCCACACCAAAGTTCAAAGTCTGCAGGGCCGCAGGGCAGACCTTGCGCAACAGCCCCCCGTGACCCCACATTTTGCAACCAGTAATGGCCTGGACCGCACACCGTGCTTACCTTCGGTTTTTACCCCGAGTTGCTTTGTTAAGTATTTGTGTGCATTACCATTTGCCATTAATATTTATCAGAGCCCCGCTAACTGAAAGGGTTACCGTTGTGTGGTGGCACCAGGTAGACAAGTTACGGCATCTACGGGGCGTCCTTACTTCAGGCAGAAGAAATCAGCAGCTGAACATCACTTCATAGTAGGGGGTCCTTATTTCTAATGTGCATTCTCAGAGGACTTCCCAGAAAATCGGAGTGTGCTACCTCATTTCCCGTTTCCAGGGGCCCATCACAACAGAAAGAAACGGTCTCGGAAGCACATCTTCTGACACATTGCTAAACGTTCTACACATTCCAAAGGCCTGACAGCAGGTTGGCTTATGGAACCTTAGGCACAGGAGATCAGAAATTTTCCAGCCGGGGACACCTTGGCTCTTTGCTTGGCTCAAGAACTTACCCACAAATTAGTGACCGCATGATTTACCTCTCAGAAGAGACAAATCAAGGAAAATATCATCCCCAAAATAAAGCCTCTGAGAAAGTAAGGAACAAGCAACTAAGATCTGGCGGAAGAACTTTTGCTTCTGAGATTAATTTCTAAGCCTCAAGGAGTACATTTTCATTGGAGCCGCACAAGGATGCAGTGACTGCTTCCTCCCCGTGCTGCTCTAGACATCCAGGGAATGGAACCCGAGAACCAGGCAGGTCTACAGGAGCCTGGGGCCCCGCATTTGCTCAGGGCCTCCCAAGGCCCTGCATATAATTCCGCTTCAGTTACTCCCTTTTTCTTAAAGTGGCTCCCGAACTGCAGATACTCCAGTCTAAGCCGGGCTCACCCTTGGGGAGACAGAGTGCACCCCTGCAGACATGGGGTCTCCCTTCCCAGCGCCCGCTACGCCCCACCGCTCACCCCACCCCCTGCGGCCCCAGCTCCACGTCCCTCCAGACTCCCGGGCTGGGGACCCCTGGCACACACCCCGGGACGCCCCAGCCAGCCACGCACCTCCTCGAAGGCGTCACAGCCCGTCACCACGATGTTGGGCCGGAAGTACTCCATCTTCACCTTCTTCTGCAGCCTGGTGTTCAGGTCGACCAGCGAGGCCTCCGTGTGCAGCAGGACCGGGCTGCAGTCGGGGTAGGGCACCTGTGTGAGGCCGGCACAGCCAGGTCATGCACGTGCCCAGGTGGCTCAGGCCACCTGTCTGTCACAGGAGGGTGGGGCAGTCACAACAGAGAACCTGCTGTCCACTGTCTCGGCCACAGCCTGGGCTGGCCCCAGCTGACATCGCTGCCCACCCTCTCGGCCTGACCTCTCACTGTTAGACACAGCAGCGACCTAAGCCTTTCTCTCCTCCTGCTCACGCGAAGGGGCTGCTGCCAGCCCGCCACACTCTAGTTAGAATTCTTTCAACACTACCATTCGCTCAACAAGCATTTCTCGGGCACCTTCAGGTACCAGGTGGGGAAACAGCACCCACAGAGCAAGCAGCCTGACCTGAGCCCTGCCCTTGTGGGGCTGTGACCCCAGGGCTACGTGTGGGGAGCAACTCCCCGGCACCCGCACTTTAAGCCCTGGATCAGGGCCTCCCCCGGGCTGGCAGAGGACTCCTCTCCCCAGAAGGACCCTGCGGGGGCTGCCCACTGCTGCTTCTGCTACCCTAGAAACCATTTAAACCCAAACTTCTGCTCTCACTGCTCAGATTCCTCTGAGAGACCATGACCAGGTGCCGCCAGCTCCTCTCTGCAAAAGCTCCCGAGCCCTCCACCCCGGGCCAAGGGGCACCCCCACTCCCCTCCATCCGCAGGACCACGCCCCTGGGCCAGCACCGGTCCAGCCCAGGTCCCAGGAGAGGCCCTGCAGGTGGAGGAGGAGCGGGACTCACCCGGTACCCGAAGTCCTTCACGTTGGGTAAGAGCTCCTTGGACGTCCGCCCCTTCATGCTGGTCTCGTACTGCACCAGCCTGCAGGCTTCCGTCTTCAGAAAGCGGGTGAGCCACTGTGCCACCTGGTCACCACAGTCCCTGCCTTTGACGTCCAGGCCAAACAGCCTGTGAGGGCCAGAGGAGGACAGCAGGTCATGGACTCGGGGCCCAGGGCCAGGGCCAGAGGTGGTGCACGGCTGTGCAGTGGCCCCTGGTGCGGCAGAGGGGAGGGTGGGCACGGTCCAGGGGAGGGCAGCTCAGCCCCAGCGGAGCCAGGCCAGCGGGTCTCGCTCACAGGCAGACACTGCCGCTTCCAGGGTTTGGGCTGAGGCCCAGGAGCTGAGATCACACACCCCGTCCTCCCAGCCATCCCCCAGCCCCGGGTCAGCTGTCCAGTGGCCACTGTCTCCCTGCGCACCGGCTGAGGGCCCCGATCTGAGAAAGGCCCCCGCAGGCACGGGACCACTGTACTCGGATAACTTTGCTTCTGACTTTCGGCAGCTCTGCCACCTTGGCATCCGCGCCCGAGCTGACCAAGCTGCCTCCCAGGACACAGTGACCACCAGCACCTGGACGCTCGAGTCAGTGCCACTCCCCTGGACTCACCACCTCCTCTAGTGCTTTCCTCCCGGCCAGGCCACCATCCCACTGCCCGGCGGCCCCAGGGCAGGTACTGTACCAGACACCCAGGACCCTCTCGCCCACTGCCCACCAACTCACTCGAACTGACCTCCGGAGCCTGCCGCCACCCGGCCTCTTCCTGCCCCCTTGCTCCCGCTGCAGCCCGAGCACCCCGCTGCTCCTGATGGCCGAGGCCTCCTGCTTCAGGAGCCCGTTAGCATAACCGATTTCATTCCTCATGGCGGCCACGGCCACGTGTGCAGATCAGAACTGGCCCGGGCACACCCACGCGCACCGACCCCCCGCCCGGCCTCTGTCTCGCGCAGTCGGTACTGTCCTCATCGGCAGGGCCCTCGTACCTGCAATCAAGGAGCGCGTTCGAGGAAGGCAGCTTGCAGGGCAATACCAGCTGGTCCATGCCGGGTGCCCGCAGGACCAAGGACCCACCCTCAGGGGTGATGGAGACCAGCACAAGGCGCGGCTCCTGCCGGGCAGTGACCATGTGTCCATCCTCCTTGACAACCATCCAAAACCTGCAGGACACAGATGGGGGCACCTCAGGGACCTCACCGCCTCCTGGGGTTCCCCCTCCACTTCAAACTCTCTCAGACCTGATGCGGGCCCCAGCAGCTGCTCCCTGGACACCCTGGTCTGGCCAGTTCTTCAGGTCTAAAACTGCTCTCCCCAGAAAGCACTTGTTTCATGGCAGGGCCCCCCAAGGAAAGTGGTTGCCTAATGCACAAATGGGTCCAGGTTCAAACACAGCCAATGAGGAGGCCGTGCTACCCCTGCTTCCTCTCAGGGGCCCAGGGCGCCCCCTGCTGGCACCACCTTGCTCAGAAGCCCCCAGGCCTGTCACCACCACCCCCACCCCACCCCGGCTGAGGAAAAGCACACGGCTCTACACCCTTTCATAGAGGACAGCAGGACCAAAGCCACTGCCCAAGGAGGCCAGAGCCCAGGAAGAAGGCCCCTAATGTCATCCTCTGTTGGGTTAACGATTCACAGTTATTGTGGGCTGATCCACGAGTGGACAGCAAAGGTTTAAATAAACGAGACAATTAAAATGATTACAGGGCTCCAGGAGGGTCCAGTTCTCTTACAATATTTAAGATTCTCTGGGTTAAGACCCAGACTTTATTAGGTTTTCAAATAAAGAGGGGGATACTCAAGAAAATGCAGGAATCTGGGCAGGACTTGGGAATATGTTAATTTAGGAGGGAGCTGGGGATGTAGCTCAGCAGCACAGCACCTGCCTGGCAAGTGCAAGGTCCTGAGTTCAATTCTCAGTACCAAAAAAAAAATAAAAAATACTCAATGTAGGAGAACTAAGTTAACTCCAGGAAGGCCTTCACAGCAGGAGTGAGATGCTGCAGCTACAGCCTCCTCTTAGTTAACTGGGGTTGGAGTCAGACGTCCTCAGCTGTGGCCTTGTCTTGTGCTTTGAGGCATCTCAGCTTCACAGGCCAGTACAGCCTCAGTGGTGACCAGTGACTCACACGTAAACATGGAAAGCCACGCGGTTAATGTAAGTTCTGCTCAGAGCTGCTTCACACTGCTCCCCACCAGTCCTCTCCAGAGACTCCGCGCTGGCCTCCTCTGCTGGTCACAGCGGCCTGCGGTCCCACCTTGGGGCACCCAGGGCCGCCCCTCCACGCACACAACCTGGCACTGAGCTTGGAGTCACGGAAGGCAAGGGGGCTGCATTCGAGCTCTGCTCTGCCGGGCAGAGGCCACAGTGCCTGCTCAGGTCTCCAACCAGATGTTCGCACGAGCCTGGAGCCGGGAGCTGGGACAGGGACTGGGACTGGGCAGGCCAGTCCTGATCTAGCGTCTCAGAGATCTGGGCGCACCATCCTTGTGTGGTCCCCGGGAGAGTAAGTTTCAGCGTCACCATCTGGGGCTGAGCAGTGCCTCTGGAGGAGGGACCTGTGCCAGTGTGGACAGTGGAAGCGACTGCACTTGATCTTAGCCAAAAGGCCAGGAAGCGATGGAAGAGGCTGAAAGTCGAGGACTTCCTCAGTGGGAGTGAGGAAGAAGGATGGCCCCTCTGGACGAGGGGCAGCTCCGGGACCGTGGGGACCCTGTAAGCCCGGGGCTCCGCTGTCCTCTCCAGGCGGCAGGCTGCGTCCGTGGCTGGCAGGCGCCACGTGGTAAGAGTGCCGGTGAAGGGCTGCCGGGCCTGTCGGGACTCTCCCCTCAGTGGGTGTGGGGCCCGCAGCGGCTCACCACTCTAGGGAGAAGCCACCCGCTCCTTTCTAGAAGTCCTGGTCCCCAGGTTCTCTGATCCGCTCAGCCTCGGGGTTCTGGAACTCGGGCTTTCCTGCCTATTCTGTGACACCCCCACTCCCCACTTCCAGCCTCAGCCTTTGCTGCAGAGATCAGTGACCCCACGCTGAATGCAGAACCAGCGCCTCCCCAAGATCTCCCGTGCTGGGATGCAGTCCTCCACACCCACACGCTAACAGCACTGGTGGTGAGACCTTTGTGGAGTGATCGGTCTTAAATTCCCATAAATGGGTTACTCCAGGCAGGGATCAGCGGATTACGGGCTCATAGAAGGAGCGGCTCCTGGGCTTCCCAGCCTCCACCTCAAGCTTGATCGACCTCCGTTATTTATAAGATACCTGGTCTTGGGTATATCACTATGGCAACATAAAATGGACCAAGACATTGCTCTGGTTAACCTCCCCAAGCCCACTCCCCTTCACACTCCACCCATGAGTCCCTCCAAGATCTGCACATGCCAGATGGGAGCCCAAACATGAGTGACACCGTCTCCATATCACCCCCGACAAGCCCTGCCTGGGCAAGGCTTCGGGTGCCCTGAGGCCCACAGCCTGCCCTCGGCTTTCCTCTGCAGAGCGCACGGGACACAGTGGGCTTAACAGTGGGAACAGGGCGGGGAGGCAGGTGGCAACACGCAGGGAGCCTGACGCTGGGCCAGGGCAAGGACAGAGGTGCCGGGTAAAAGGCTGCCAGCCCTAATGCACCTCAACCGCCTCATCACCTCTCCGGGTAACGAGACAGTTTACCTCTGCGCACCGCAAGTCCCTGTAAATGAATAATCCGCTCTGTTCTGCAGAGCTGGAAGGAAGGGTAAGTCTGGAGGGTGTGCTGGTTTTTACAACCAAGTTCTCTCACCCGAGACTGACGCAGGACTCAAGCTAGACGGGGGCACCTCGATCTCAATCGTACCAGCTGGCAGAGGGTCAGGGGAGGGCAGAGCTCAGAGTCCCTGGAAGAGCAGCAGTGCCTGAGGGACCACAGCAGGGCAGGTGGAGCCCAAGGCCACTGAACAGTCTCCTTGTCACGTGACAAAGTGGCCTGGGGCTGCGGGCTGAGCCCAGGGAGGAATCGGGACACAGACAGAGTGAGCTGCAGACACAGCACCAAAGGGAGAGGGGACTCAAGCCCGGGGGCAGCCTCGGCCCGCCCCCGCCATGCCCGAGGTGTCCGTGCCCGGGGCGTTCAGCCAGGTGACCTTGAAAGACCCCGGAGCTCCGGGTGCACAGCCAAGCACAAGCACAAACACGCTCAGGCTCTGAACAAAGGGCCCAGCAATCTGGGCACTTGTGGAGGGGAACCCCGGCCTTTCCCACAATCCCAAGGCACACAGGCTCAGCGTGGAACGAAGTAACAGCACCCCTTTTCCGCATTCTAGAAATACTTGTCCTTTTCTTTCTGTAATCTCAGGCTGAGGGAGCAGCCATCAAGCAGAGTTCTCCGGCAAGCTTGCTCTCAATCACGAATTAAGACCAAGTTCAATTTTTTTGAGAAAGCTGAGGTTAAATGACTTGGTCTCCCGATCCCGATGCACCCTCCCCTCACAGAAAGCGCCTCGGGGCTGTTCTCACACTCAGCCGAGTTCAGATCCCTGTCCGCAGGATGGAGGGAGACAGCAAGATCCAGCCCACAGCCCGGACTTCACCCCCAACCACCCCACCCCAAGGAGTTGTTATTCCAGACAAGGCGGAGTTGGTACCGTTCTACACACTTGACGATGCCCACAGGAGCAAAAAAGCCCAGGCAAAGGACACACACAGGGCTTTCCGTCGCGGGGGGCAGTCCCAGTGAAGCAGTGATAATAACAAGTGGGAGGGCAACAGCACCCCGGGGGGGCGGGGGGACACATAAGAAGTGGGGATCTCCGAGATAACCACAGTCTCGCAAGAGAGGGAGAAAGAACCCCAAGTGCGCTTTCCCGACGTGCAGGGTGTGATTCCGCATCTCCCTCCAGGACAGGACGCCCCGCGCCAATGCCCCAGGACTGCCCAGCGATGAGCAGCGGGCTCTGCAGATCCTGTACGCTTGGACAGACTAAACATCGTCACGGTCCCAGAGAAACCCTTTCATTCCAGCACCAGAATCACCCTGGGAAGCCAAAGGCTCCACAGGCCAGCTTCGCTCCCGGTGATTCTCCTTCTTTCGGGCTGGGGGGACCCTCAGGGGGTGACAGTTGTAAGGATCACTCCAGGATTAGAAATTTGGGTTCAGGGGCGAACAAGGCGTCCCCAGTGGGTCACACGGCGTGCACACACCACAGCTGTCTGAGACGCGGAAGTTTCCAAAGCAGAGAAGCAGACCTCAGAACCGTGCACACGCGCACGCTGGTGACCCAGCGCCGCACACGCACCTCCGCTGGAGGGTCTTCCCTCCGGAGCCTGCACGCGGAGTTCTGCGAAGCCACCCCAGTGAAGCTGCCATCCTAGCCCTGAGATTTCAGCACCAGGCCCCGCGTAGGCAGGGGTACCCCACAGTGAGGGAGTAGGGGACTCGGCCATCCCCTCCGTAAGGGCTGCAGGGGCTCACAGGGAGCACAAGTCTCTTGTGACCCTCAGCCACGTCCTGACTGGTGTAAACGGCCACACGGACATCACCGGGGCAGAATCCCCAACTTCCCAGGGGAGCAGCAGCTTGCAAGGTTCGGGAAGCACTGAGAGGCGCTTCTGTCTGTCCCTGGGCATTTACCAAATGGACAGCCACCCTTATTTGCTCCACTTGCCATCAGCTGGACCCGATAAAAGTCTGCATCCTCCCGCGGGGCTCTGGTAGAGTCCTGCTGAGACCGAGTCTCTCAATTCACAAACCCATTCCACACTCACACAAAGCTGCCTTTGCCTCACTCTGACCTCACTGATGCCCCCCCCCTCCCCCCCGTGTGCACCTTCAAGGCAAGCTCCACACCGAGGCCGCCGGGAACCACCTGGCACTCCCAGGGCCCCAGACGGAGTCCTGTCTGCTCCACACTTTCCTCTCTTTCTTTCTTTTTCTATTACCAGGGTTGAGGCTGAACTCAGGGTCTTCACAGCGAGCTACATCCCCGGCCTTCTTTTCTGATTTTTTCTTTTGAGGCGGGGTTTGGCAAAATCCCTCATTTCCCGGGGGTTGGGCTGGAACTTGAAACTCTCCTTCCCCCGCGTGCCAGGGAGCCAGGGTCACAGGTGTGCGCCCGGCCCAGCCTCGTTCCTCACTGTGTTGGTCGGGCTCCCGGGGCTGGTCTCAGAGCTGGAGAACAGGCAGGACAAGCCGCAGGCCACCGCCCCCAGGGCACCCCAGCCGCGGCCCCAGGCGAGCCTAACGCAGGCGCGCGACAGCGCCGCTTTGCTCGGGTCTGCAGCGACAGCATGGCCGCTTAGGCTGCTTCGGTACAGACACAATGGCAAGCTTTGCAGCTAACCGGAGAACTACGCGCGGAGGCCCTTGGTAGAGCAGCCTCAGCCAGGACCTCGCTCCGCCCGCTCGGCCAAGACGGATCGGACCAGCCCTTTCCAGCGAGGCGTCAAAGGTCGGCCAGCCTGGACGTGCAGTGCCAAATCTCCGGGCTCCTGGCGCTGCCACCGACAGGTCCTTTGCCCGAGATCGCCTGAGCTCCGGTGCCCGGGCCGGGGACAACCCCGCCCTCTCTCCACGTGACCCGGAGTAAACTCGGCTCTTGACTCCGGGGTCCCCGCGCAGGAGGAGCCCACCGCCAGCAGGGAGCGAGCTCGGGCCTGCGCGGGCCTGCGCCCGGCTCTGCCCGGCTCCCGTGCTGGCTGCAGCAGCGCTGC